TCAACCAAAAGTTTTGCTACAATTTCAAAAACATGTCGTTCTGTATGGGTATAGTTTTCGGATCTTTCATTAGCGTATTTAAGGCTATAAAAAGTTTGGGCTTCAAAAGTTTACACAATTATTGACTTTATACAGAAAATTCGTCCTTGTAAAACATTTAATAGTTCACAAATGAAACGCGATTTTAAAGTAAAATTATTTCTTAAAACACTGCAAAAAATTTCATTCATATTGATAAAGTGGTATCGTCATAAAGTGCGTTGAAATGAACAGTGGTATAGCAAACATCGAATTCCCTCACAAAATGTTATCACACACTACAGTAAGGGGAGTCAGTTAAGTTTGTCTATTTTTAGATACTATACAGGTAATCTTTTGACACTACGTATACAACCTGTGTGACCTGTGTAGTGATTTTGATTTTACGATAAATTCATGAATGAACGATAATTTTATGAATGAACATGAGCACCTGACCTCTTTCTTAAACACCTATTAAACATATAAAACCGTATTTAATAAGGAGATAATTCAGTCAAATTTTCAGTACTAAATCAACAACTGAAATGATTCCATTTTTTGATGAAACATCGTACGAACGGAGAACGGAATCGCAGGTATAAAAATGCACTTTTTTCCCTTGTAATGACCGCGGATCTATAATTTTTATAGATCGGTTGAAATCCCAAAACTAATTTGCATAATGGAAATTTAGGCGATAGCAATACATCGGAATGACCTCAAGGTCATCCTCTGTAAAAATCAACACTCAAATTTTGATAAAAAATGTTTTTGGGTTGTTCTAAAAAATGATAAAGGTTTTTGAATCAAGATGGGAACAAATTCTTTGACCTAAACGAAAGCCCCCCCCCCCCCCCCTCTTTTTTTAGCCACACAAACCCAAAAGATGAATTGTGGGGTCCAAAAGAGATACAAGACACCTATTTTAGTAAAGCAAATTTGATTGGCAGTTTTGCGAACGGCAAAAATCTAAATGCTGTTTGTCAATACCTTCGACTTATATTCCAAGTGAAAACAATTACTTATATAATTAATAAAAATAAATCAAAATTAAACTACATGGGGGATTATTCAGGGTATTCCAACTTAGTTGCACCAAAAGGGTATCTTACTATACTAAATTAATCCTTGATTCTTCAAAGTTTAGTTTAGCCATAATAAAAAGGAGTATATAACAGCAATAGAATGTCATAAACAGTGCAGAATAAGTCTGTTCACATTTCAGGCGAAATTTATACTGTTGAGATAGTGTCAAGACATATTTAAGACTGTCAAGAATGTGTCGAGACATTATTTAGAATGTCAAGAATATGTCGAGACATATTCAGACATTATTAAGAATGTCAAGAATATTTCAAGACAGATCGAGACAAATTTAAGACAGTCAAGAATTGGTCAAGACTAATCCAGACTCTTATCAGATGATACAGGAAGTGTCGAGAAATTTTAAGACAATGTTCATACTGTCAAGACACTTGTCAAGAGAAATCAAGAACCTTATTAGACAAATTCATACTATGTCAAGAATTTTTGAAAATTATTCAGACAAATTAAGAATGTCGAGTAAAAATTCATGCAAATTCAGACAAAAACTGGTCTTTTCAGACTTTTTGACTTTTGTAGTGATAACAACTTGTTAGCTTTAAATGTTTTTATGAATTTATTTCAATCATAAATTTCTCCGTCTGTTGATACCTTTCAGATTTTTCCTCAACACCGTGTTGTTTTTATAAAGGGACGTAACACCACTACTAACCGTGTATTGAAATAAGCCCCGCCTACTAACCCCATATGAAATATACACGGTATCCACGCGGTTGCTTTTACACAATCATATTCCTAGAAATGTATAGGAGGTAAGATAAATCTCCTAGAAATGTTCAGGAGGTAAGATAAATCTCCTAGAAATGTATAGGAGGTAAGATAAATCTCCTAGAAATGTATAGGAGGTAAGATAAATCTCCTAGAAATGTATAGGAGGTAAGATAAATCTCCTAGAAATGTACAGGAGGTAAGATAATATTAGTTAGAAGATGGGGATGGTTGTCAATTAGAGTAGACATCATGTGTATATATAAAAATGACTCGAGGATATGTGGTATGATTGCCATAGTTTATTTTAAACAAATAACACATTACACCATGGACCTATGTATCTGTAACAACACATCATGGACTTTTATACCTCGATTAAACAGAAGACAATGGACCAATTATACTTTCAGTAGCATACCATGGTCTCTTTTATAGATATTACACATGAAACCATGTACTTACATGTATACATATATGTTAATAACACACCATGGACTCTTATACCACAATGAAACAATAGAAAATAGACCAATTACCTTGTCAGAAACATACCATGGTCTCTTTTATACATACTACACATGAGACTATGGACCTATGTGTTTGAAGTAACAATCGTGAACTCTTATACTACAATGAAACAGAAGACAATGGACCAAATAGACTGTCAGAAACAAACCATGGTCTCTTTTATACATATTCCACAATGAAACAGAAGACCATGGACCAATAAGACCGTAACATGCCGTGGTCTCTTTTATACACATTACACCTATGACCATAAACCTATGTATCTGTTATCAATAAATCATGGACTCTTATACCACAATGAAACAGAAGACAATAGCCAATTACCTTGTCAGAAACATACCAGGGTCTCTTTTATACCTTTTACACACGAGACCATTGACCTATGTATCTGTTATCAAAACATCATGGGCTCTTAAACCACAATGAAACAGAAGACCATGGACCAATTAGGCCGTCATATACATGCCATGGTCTCTTTTATACATATTACACACTACACGTAACACGTAACACATGAGACCATGGACTTATAATTTACATTTCTATTAACACATGAACCATAGACAGAAAATTTCTGTAAAAATATCATGTAAACTTACAAAAAAAAAGTAGACAATATGTCGATAGTACATATGTGATGCCCCACAAGCATACAACATTATACAGGGACATAACCCCAAAAAAGTAAAAGTGATGCCACCTAAATTTGAACTTGATCTGTGCTTTGTGATATTAAGCATTGTGTATTAGTTAAATAAAATATTAGACAATAACTTTGTGGGTCGCCACACTTCAGAATTACAGCCAAAAAGAGAGACTATATGTATGTATGTGCCGGTCCCAAGTCAGGAGCCTGTAATTCAGGGGTTGTCGTTTGTTAATGTGTTACATATTTGTTTTTCGTTCATCATTTTTTGAACATAAACTAGGCTGTTAGTTTTCTCGTTTGAATTGTTTTACATTTGTCATTTCTGGGCCTTTTATAGCTGACTATGCGGTATGGGCTTTGCTCATTATTGAAAGCCGTACAATGACCTATAGTTGTTAATTTCTGTGTCATTTGATCTCTTGTGGAGAGTAGTCTCATTCATGGCAATCATACCACATCTTCTTTTTTTATATTTACCATAGGGAGAAGTGAAGGGTCGTGTCATATTTTTTTTAAATTCAATTTTCAAAATCAGGAACCTGATGTTCAGTGGTTGTTGTTTGTTGATGTGGTTCAGTAGTGATTCTTTTTATAATTAGGTTTCCAAGTTTGAATGGCCGACACTGGTCTTTTTTGGGGCCCTTTATAGCTTGCTGTTCGTTGTGAGCCACGTCTCTGTGTCGAAACCTGTACTTTTGATCTATAATTGTTTACTTTTACAAATTGTGACTTTGATGGAGAGTTGTCTCATTGGCACTCATATCATATCTTCTTATATCTATCTATATCTTTTTATTTCTTTTAAAAGCATTTGTGTATGACAACTGCTAAGGAGGTATTTCCCTGCCTTGCCATGCTTGTCACATGCTTGTGGTCTGAATTTCATTTGTATCTATGGACATATATTGTCAAAATATATCATAAGAACCGTAATGATAAATCTATAATACATTTTGTAGCTACAGTTGTGCAGATATATCCGAATGAATTGAAGATAATACCCAAATTTTGCTGCATCTTAATGATTTTTTAAACAAAAGTATGTTTGGAATTGCTTGAAATTGCATATAGCACACAGTAAAAAAGCAAAATCCCTAAAAAAATATATTAAGATAAATCAATTGAAAACTCCGAAATGTTAGCCATTAATACCTTACATACAAGTACAGTTTCACTGTCTTTCTTTACCAAGATCTTAATAATAAAAAAAATGTAAGTTTATAAATTATTTACGAACTAAAAAAAAACTTTTTGTCACCTGTCATGCTTGTTGAAAACATATATGATATTAAAGTTGGGTCTAAAAAGCACATTGGCGGCAATGGCCTTGTTACAGGAGGTACATGTAAATAAATACAACCATAAAACCATTCTAATGAATTGAGAATTGGTACCTACGGAACATAAATTATTTCTAGACTATCCTGCAGAATAACAATCCTGAACATACTTGAACTGACATTTTGTGAAGTTAAGCAGTCAGTGTAACAAGTTGTATTTTGCCAATGTATGAAGGAATTTCTGAACATAGACTAGAAGGATAAATTCTGGATTTCTTTGTAAATTGAAAAATCATATTCAGTTTAATATGTTAAAACATTGTCCACTGCATGTTGTAGCAGATTATTCATCCTGTACTGTGAAAGCTCATTAATTTTTAGCTCTTACCAAATCTATGTTAATCTTTTTTTAAATAATTTTAAATAATTTTCACCCTTTTTAAAACCTTGGTACATATGAAACCTTCAAAAGTTTACAATTTGTAATGACTTTTGTAATAGGTATGACAAGCTATTGACGAGTATTGTACGCACATCTTCGGTTGTGTCTCGATGTTTTTTTAAAGGGGGAGGGTCTATGTTATGAAGTTGAAAACCCGCAAGACACACTGTTAAAGCACTTATTGCTGCATTTCAGTTGGCAAGCTAACTTACTTTCACTGAATTACTCATAACCCTGCTAAATATATTCTTATATTAAATAGAATCAACTGTAGAATTGTTGTGAACCCAATGTGAAGCAACAATGGCCGACAAAGATGCTCTGCAGCAGTAGCAATATCACATGATCCAAGCAACCAATGGGACGTACAGCACCAGACTTTTTTGTAATATATGATATGATTGGTTCCTACGTTTTGGTAGGTAAATACTATGACAATATCATTTTAAACATTTGCAGAACAATAATATATGCAATGCAATCTAGACAATAGACATGTAATAAAAAAAACACCATAAAAAAAAAAACACACCACAATAACAACAACATACTATAATTCAGTTAATATTATGTTGAAATTGACCCAGGTGCACCAGGTGTATATTGACTATCAAATAAATGGTATGTATGAAATTTAAAACAAAATGTTATCTCTAAAAGTTTTAAATCATGTGACCATTTACCTTCCTTTTCCAAAGATATGTCCTATATATAAGAAATAATAAGGTACGTTTGTTCTCGGTATAATACAATGACAATATTCACACACATCCAACTCACAAACACATATAAAACATACATTTAACTTAATTATGTAGGGTTTAATTTGTTGATTTTTTTTTTCTTTTTATCAACTTTCGTTTTCTACACTATCTTTTGGATATGTTTAAGCATATTGAATTGTCCTGTTTTTTAACCTCATTGCCTTCCTTGTCTTAGTTTTGTTCTCTTCAATTTGCATAGATGTTTTCTATTTATTTATGAAATTTGAAGTTAATTGGGTCATGCAAAACTATGATGATCAATTAATTAATAAGTTGGGAATGTTTTAACGTCCAACACAACAACTTAATGATGTAAGTTGGAATGATTTTTGTTAATGAGACAACAATCCATCAAGACAAAAGTACAAAGCATGGCTATATCACCTTAGTGTTGCAGGATGCAGGTACTCAGACTGGAGTATTGTGCCACCTAGGCGCCAGAAGCTGAGCATTTCATGGAACAAAACCCAGAAATCTATGCTTAATAAGACTTATATGCTTATTTTGCGTCTCCATTAAACATGATATTCGACCAGGATGAATTGAGAAAAAAGTAACAAAGACAAATAAGAATTTAAATAATTAATAGCAATTCTCTGTAACCGCTAACCAAGTTGCTGCACGCATAGTCTCAGATTTTCTTGAAATTTAGTTTGTTGGTAGCTATTGATAAACAAACAAGAAATATGTTGACAAATATTAGTTTATGCCCCCGTTGCCATGGTAACGGGTCCCTTTGGATTTTGCCTCAAAAATGCATATTTTGACGAACAAAAATGACCCATTTTAAGCAGTTATCATGCACACATTTCAAGTTTTATGAATATTTTGACTTTTGTTCATTAAAATATAACACTTTATGATTAAGATGAAAGATAAAAATTATTTCTGACAAAAGGGGAAGAAGGGGGCAGCACTGATTTAAATAGTGGAGTTTTCAATGTATTCAAGAAAGCAAATTATAGGCATTTTGCATGACATAATTTTACACTTTTGCATCCACAACCAATTATACTAAGGTAATAAATGTAAACTATCACTGTTGCCTAGGAATAATTTATCAATAAAGGTTTGGGAAATAAGTTGCTAGGGTGGTTGCTATGGGAACATAAAAGTGTCATTTTTGGTATTTTGTAAAAGAATTTTGACATTGTTATTAAAATAGCTTTAAAACAGTGATAGAATCAAAATAAAAATCACTTGGGGCATGTTCTGCTTTCAATGACCTGAAAGTTGACCTAAAGGTCAAAGGTTATTGATGAACTTGACTTTCACCTTCAGTCTTTTTTATTTAATTTTGTAAGGAAATTGTAACAAACACAAAAAGTATTTAGAAAAAGTGTTTAGACCAAATTTTGCTTTTATTTGGTAGGAAAGCAAATGCCAGAGGTTAAGGTCATCTTTTAAGTTCTTAGCAACGACCCTTACTTGATATAAAAGTACCTAGCAACCGTACATAGTTTGGTTCAGATTAATACGAACTATGATATAGATCCTAATTAAAAGTTAAGGGGTCAATATTGTCAACATACACTTTACCAGCCATTCTCATATAATTAGAAAATGCATAGCAACCATCAATGTATTGGTGCTTTAGTTGTTGAAACTAAAGTTGTAATTCATTCTTCCAATTAGACTCTAAAAATTATTTTAAGAACAGTAATTGTGTTTCTTAAATAATTCACATACATGATTTTACTCATGTAAATTTCAGTTAATCGCCAGCTACTTTGTGTCCTGTTCTTACTTGAATTACAAATGCTGTTTCTTCCAAAGTATTTTATCAATTTTACGAAAAAAATACCAGTTGAATCATATTATCGTTTCCCAGGGGCCTCGTGTTTTGCTTTTATGTTCTTAATCTTAAAACTTCAATACATGGATAGAAAGTAATATAACAAATCATTATTTCTATTGAAACTTATATGGATAAATGAACAATTTAATAGCAGAAATTACCAACAAGACTAATCATTAAATCAACATATCCAAAATTTTCATTTTACTCCATATAGGCGTTTTGCCCTTAAATGAATACTAAGGGAGATAAATTCAAATAACAGCAATTTTTCTTATTTCCTTATACCAATTATGTACTCTTGTTTATTTACTCTTGTAGCTATACATAGCTTATTCTATATTAATATATTTATGTTAATACTAGATAACGATTGTTACCCCAAATCCTCTTTAAAGGGTATTAACTCTAATTAGGGCAATAACTCCAATAAAAATCAGCTGACGATTTCAACGAAGTAGATCTGGTGCTGCTGATAATCTATTAAATTAAATGTTTATCTTTATCTTTTATTGTTTTCAAGATAATAGGCAAAAAAGACAAAACATAAATGGGGAACACAGATGATGCCCCCGTTTGCATATCATATATATGAAGTTATAAAGGGACATAACTAAAGAATTGTAAAAGTGATGCTAGCCAAATGTGTACTTAGTCTGAGTTTTGTGGTAAAAGACATTGTGTATAAGTCTCATAACATTTGGTTGAGGCTAACTTAAGTTAGAGAACAGAAACGAAAAATTCAGCAATTTTACCATTTGTAAACAAAAATAACTCTAGAACTGTAAAAGTGACACCCCCAAATTTCAAACTTGATTTGTATTTTGTGGTAATAGGCATTGTGTATAAGTTTGATAACATTTGGTTGAAGCAAACTAAAGTAAGAGAACGATAATGAAAAATTCAGCAATTTTTAAGTTTATAAAGGGACATAACTCAAAAACTGTAAAGTTGACCTCGCCCAATTGTGAACTTGATCTGTGTTTTGAGTTAATAAGCATTGTGTATAAGTTTCATATCATTTGGTTGAGGCAAAATAAAATGAGAGAACGGAAACGAAAAATTCAGCAATTTTTATGTTTATAAAGGGGCATCCAAAACTGTAACAGTGACGCCACCCAATTTCGAACTTGATTTGTGTTTTGTGGTAATAAGCATTGTGTAAAGTTTTAGAACATTTGGTTGAGGCAAACTAAAGATAGAGAACGGAAATCAACTTTGGGACGTACATACGGACGTACGGATGAACATACAGACGGACAAGGGTAATACTTTATGCCCGGTCTGCTTCATCGGGGCATAAAAAAAGGTTAAAATTCAAAATTACAGGGCAGAAACTCCCCTGTAAATAGATAATAGGTAGATTCCTTCACTCGGAATATTAAAGATCCTGTCAGGTTTTTCTATTTATAAAAGTTTTCATGATGATAGACAATTTAAACTTGCATTTTACTCCTATATTCTATTTTAGCCATGTTAGCCATCATGGGATACATTTTTAAAGTACATACTGTATAATGATGATTGTGTCCAAATCTGGTTTAAGGAGAAGTCCGGTAAAAGATAATTTTGCCAAAAATGTAACATTTTAGACACTTAAGTGTTTACTTCACTTGAATCAATCAGTTTGTGTTAAAGATTTGAACCGATTTGGTCATTACAAATGCTAAAATTCAAGTTCAAATATGAAAATCTATCAAATTTGCTATTAAATTTCATTTTTAGGATGTTTTTTTGTCTAAAATGGAAGTTGCCGAATTCGTGTTCAGTCTCAACATTTATATATGTAATGCATAATCATTACATACAATATTTTTATTCTAATATCAAGACTGAACACAAGTGCCACTACTTCCATTTAAGACAAAAACCGTCTTACAATTAGCACAAATGCTAAAATTTCAGTATTTTTGCATGACATAATGATTCCAGTACCTGACATGTGTCCATTGTGTTGTCAAAAACGACTCATATTTATCTAACAAACGCATTCTACTTTCTTATAAATAGCGTTAGAGTTTACATTTTTAGCAAATTTGTAATAATTCTATATTTTGGGGCCAAAAAGGGGTCCTGATTGGCCTAGTCTGTTCAGTTATTATTTTCAGAGGAGAATTATTTTTTTTTAAGTTAACGACGACTAGCCCAATGTTATGAGTAAATCTCACTTGGCTCTGTGGCTCTATTAAAAAATAACTTTTGCTAAACACACAACGTATTTTTTTTTTTAATTATTTTTTTAATCTTGAACTGATGAAATACAAACATAGCAATGAGCGGATGCAGGGTAGTTCTATTGGTTAGGAAAGACCATTTTATATTTTGTGATGGGGATAATGGATGCTTAATGAAATGAATGTGATAGTGTCTTGATCTGAAGATCAATAATATTGCACAAAACATGCTGAAACGGAATTATCTGTACATTCAGATGCACATCAGCCACAAACGATTTAAAATACAAAAACGGTGTGTACACAATGAAAAAAAAATTTCGACGAAAAAATATGAAATAAGTAATCAAGCCTTATAACGAGTGAAAATTAATATTATGTCTATGCATAACCTCTTTTCTCGAAAGGCCAATCCCAACCAAAGAAATAAACTGGTCGTTCTCTTAGCAGTTACATTCCTTTTTTCTTTTTCTTGTAGATTCAAAGGACCTGTCTTAAAAATAACATTTGGTTATCTTCTGGAGAGTTGTCTCATCGGACGACATCTTTTAAATTTTTGTATTTGAATGTGTTATCAGTCTCATGAAATTGAATTTGCCATATAATTTACTATTCTGGATTATACATGTGTTCTTAAAGAAAACTGCATGTTTTATATTATTTTTTTTCTGATTTTTGTCCCAATGAAACCTAAAATATATTGTTGCTGCGCAGTTTTTCTAAATAAATAAATGGTTGCTATGCACTTTTTCAATATAAATAGGTGGTTGCTAGGTACTTTCCTAATATAAATAAATGGTTACTAGGCATTTTTACACTTTAAATGAATGATTGTTTAAAACTTATGTGATGACACCCCCTAGACATTTTAAGTTAGGTCTATGTAATAGTTTATATAGTCCTGAATCAAATCATGTGTGGTTGCTAGGTACTTTTTTTATCAAATAAGGGTGGTTGCTAAGCACTTTTGACATGACCTTGACTCTTTTTTTTTTCATATGTTAATAAAATAGTGGCTTAAAACGTCCTGAACATTTTCTCCATGTATAGTATGCCTCTTTCTATTAAATTTCCTTTCAAAATTCAATTAATATACACAAGATCAAAGGTCAAGGTCATCAATGACCTTTGACCTCTGGACAAATTTATGGTAATTTAATTGCCAATAGTTTGCACATCATAGTCATTCAATAATTATTACCTTTTGTGGATTATTTTAATAAAATGGCCACATTTTAGAGGTAAAAAGGCAAAAATGACACATTTTTGTTTCCATAGCAACCATCCTAGAACCCAATATCCCAAACATTTTGTTATAATTTATTGATTAGAAACATTGATACTTTTCATTCATAACCACAGCTTAAATAGAGGTGGATGCAAAAATGCCTATTTTGTTCATGCAAAATGTATAAAATTTGTCTACTCAACTACAATGAAAAATGACCTCTGCTTCTGCGGTTGTGTCAATATTCAGCAAAAATATTTTTTATATATGACATTGCTATTTTGTTTGTTAAATTTCATGTTTTTGAAAAATATTTACAAATATCATTATTTAAAGCATGGTTTTGATTACGAATGACTGCAAAGTAGTTGTTTTTTCGATGCTAAATTCCTCCAAATTTGCGGGAAATCTCATTCACTTGGTTGCCATGGCAACCAAGGCCTAGCAACATTTTGGTGGGCATTTTTCTTACTTTTTTACATGATCACTTGTTTTGGCTAAGTTTCATGAAAATCGGTGACTATGCGTGCCGACACCCCTATATAAAATGGTTGGTCGTTACAGAGAACTGCTCTTAAATAATTTAAAGACTATACTCAGACAAATACTTCCTTTTCGAAGTGGGACCTCTCCCATCAGGCTGTAAACATTGGAAAAGTGGGCCGTCTATCTGTTTGTCTATGCAGGATGTTTATCAAAATACACAGCCACGTCGAGTAAGAATGGGGACGTTGCATCAGTTGCATTGTGTAGGAAGAATGCCGAGATATGTGTATGTTAAAAAACACTCTGATGGGTCCATAGTTGTTGCAGGGCAAATGTCTCCCCATATAGTTTCCAGTGGCATGCCAAATATCAATCCCTCGGTGGGCCTACCTTGCAGAAGCTACCCATATAGTATTATTATGATTTTGTTCTCTGAAAATTATTGAAATATTTGCCACTGGAGTTAGGCAAGCAACACTCATTCTAGCATCGATCAGTCTGGCCTATTCTAGTTGTTATTCACTTATTTGACATTGTTAACGGAAAAAGTAGTCTTTCGATGCCCAGAGGCGTCCCATCTGTATCATCACAGAAAGATAGTCATTTCACTTGTTAGCGGATTGCATATTGACTATACGAGCTTAAAACAACTTATTATGATAAACAAATCCCAAGACATTGGCTAATTAAACAACCATTTGTGTGTTTATTTTATGAAATAAATTAAGTACAAGTAGGCGCTAACTGTCCGTTTTATCTATATTACATTCCATGTCATTGTCGAACGTAAGCGAAAGTATATATGAGAGGAATGAAGTGCAAGAGGAGATTGAAATAAGTGGATATTTAGGTCATCTGTTATAAGCTTTCAAAGTTTCCTTGTGTATGTTGTGCGTTAACCTTTTAAAAGATTTTCTTCCCATCCCCACTTATCCAGTTTTAATTTTATTGGCCGTCTGTATAATACAGTCAAGGAAAAATCGCTCCAACCTAGGACTATTATACGTTTATTTCTTTATTAACTGTGGTTTTGTATCTTCTGAGCAATGTTTTTCTTGTTTTTGTTACTTTTACGACATTTGGTAGATATACAGATCATTGTACTAATCAATAGCACAAAACAAGAAAAAGACGAGAAACGCAAAATATTGATCTATGAGTATTTACAGTATCTGTTAGTAAGTTCAAAGTCCCAAATTTCAAATTATAAATAACCCATATTTTCTTATACTAAAAGGCCACCGAGAACCTATCAATCTATAGTATACGTATAAACGTGATCTAAAGGATAAACACGCCCACTTCAGAAAGGAAAAATCGTCGGACAGTTTTTGTAGTTGGGTGTCTCGTTAGAATATATGGATAAGTATTCTAAATGGGAATGGTCAGAGCATATTGGTTAGGAAAATTATAGTCCGTAGTGCAGTATCTTGGTCATTATAATACACGAATGGGACCTTATAATTGCATGTTAATAGAGAAACAACCGAAACTGAAAAGTATCATTAAGCTAAGGACTCGGGGATTAAATATTTCTATTAGTTTATACAGAAGGTTACAGATTAACGCGAAAATGATATCGATAGTAAAATAAACCTATGTGAATACTAAATGAAAGTTGTTTGTTTATTGCTGGATGCTTAACGTCCCGTGGCAAATAGTTCTTGCCTGTACAGGACGAGAACAAAAGTAAAAATTTTAGATACAATAGGTACTATAATAGAGGCCGTCCGGGATGAAGGTCGGGAAAATTTGGACCGCCACTGGAAAATGAGGGTATATTGGATAGAGACATAAATTTTGCTTGCAAGAGGCCACCTACGGACCCCTCAAATAGTAGTTGTAAGGGTTTTTAAAGGTGCAAAGAGCGCGGCACCTTTTTAAACAAGGCATTGGATTTGACGTCCCCAATCTGACCGGGCGGGACTTCAAACTTGTACATCCCTCACAGATAAATAAACAAGCACGTTAACTGAATGATAGTAACCTGTTTTAATAAAATGTATCAATATATACATGAAATTCCTTTTTAATATGTATGTTGCAGGATCATGGCCAGTAATTGGCGTCTTTGTGGTTTTTGTGATAGTCGTCAGATATCCAAATCATCAGTAGTCTGGTGCTTTGAATGTGACGAAGGACTATTCGAAGATTGTAAGGAACATCACAGTGTTTCAAAGGGAACAAAAAACCACGAAACTGTTTCCATCGATGGGAACAAAAAGTTACAAACCGAAGTCCTGCAAATCGTTCAAGTCTGCAAAAATCATAATGAGAAATTCGAGCTTTTCTGTAGAAAACACGATTGTCCATGCTGTAAGAAATGTGTGAAATCTCACAACGATTGTAAAGGTTTAACCGACATTAATGAAATCATAAAAAACGTCAAAACCTCCAACGCCTTTTACGAAATCGAACAAAACCTGCTTGAAGTCATCGAGAATATTAAACGGCTCAGCACTAACCGAAGAGAAAATTTGAAATCGCTAGAAAACAAGAAAAAAGAAATTGAAGCACAAATAAAACACACTAGAACCAAAGTAAATGATCACCTAGATAAACTTCAAGATGATTTGATGAAAGAATTAATTACAGTTCAACAAAAAGAAAGCATCAAAATACAAAAATTGTTGACTACTCTAAAACAGAAGGAAAAAGAGATTACTGAAGTACAAGAAAATATAACCAGTATTAAACGGCATGCGTCCGAACTTCAAACATTTTTAACCATGAAAGATATCGAAAAAGATATTGCTGTCGAAGAAAGAAATATTCAATCGCTTACTACAAGTGAAACCACAAATCAAGTCAATATTTCATGTCAAATTGACAAGTCTTTACAGCAAATCACAGCCAGCGTACAGAAGTTTGGAGAAATTAATTTCTGTTTTGATCTATGTGATTTTTCCATTCAGAAAAAAAAGGAGAGACAAGCTCAAATTATAGTAGAAACCAGAAATATCGATAGCGTGACTTTGACGTTACAGAAACGTATCAATACAAAGTTGTCAGGTGTCCATGGTTTTTCTTTCCTACCTGATGGTAGGATGGTATTCTCTTGTTATGACCAAAATAAAATAAGAGTACTCAAGTCTGACGGATCAAAAGATTTCGAAAGAAATAAAATTGGTCTTACGTTTGATGTGGTATTTATTGGGGATGATTCTATAGCTGTAACATCTGCAAAATCAGATAAGATTAATATAATCGACTTAAAGAATCACAAACTGAAGAAAACAATAGAAGTTAATTCATACAATGGTGGAGCAGTATACAAAGATGGACATTTGATTTATTGTGCCAGGAAGAAAGGACTACAGATGATTAGTCTTAGTGATGATTCCATTACCAATGTTATCAAAAACAAACTTCCGACATGGTCGTACGTTACAACATTCGGTGACAAACTGTTCTACACAAACTGTGAAAATGAAAGTGTAACCTGTTGTGATTACCATGGTAACATACGGTGGACGTTCTGTGACACAAATGTTCTGGAGTTCCCACTCGGTATCTCTGTAGACAATAATGGTAACGTATTTGTAGTGGGATATCTTACTCACAATGTAGTCGTCATCTCTGCTGATGGACGACACTACAGACAACTTTTATCACGTAAAGAGGGACTGAACAGACCCACGGTTCTGCATTATGATCAATCTACCAAACTATTGGTAGTCGCAAATAGAGCCAAAGACGCGTTCTTGTATGAAGTTAATGATTAGTTGTGGTGTTGATGGTTCCAGTATTCGTCTTAGGACTTACGTTGATCTAGATTACTGACTATATTTCAGATAAATCACTTGGTTTTATCTAAATTTGTTTAATTTACATTCTTTGCTAATCGGGACCACTGTTTGTTCATAATAACATCATTTGCCTAATTGATAAATGGTATGGTTTATATTATATTAATGATTTTAGTACAAAAAAAAATCATCTTACACAGACTTATTGAAACAATGAGTTAGACAGGAAAGCAAGGCCGGCCAAATATATTAGATTTAAAACACTGAGGTCATAAAATAAAAAAAAGGATTAATTGTAAATTAAAAAAGGGTGCTCAACAGAAAGCACATTAGAAATACAATATTATAGATACGAATACATAGAGATATGGATATACGTCAATGTGACAGCAAACCAACGACTTCGTCAAGAATATTATAGATACGATTACAAGGAAATGTAGAGTATACGTCAATGATACATCAAACCAACGACTTCAAAAAGAATATTATCACGGTAGGTATAGTGTCCGACTGGAATCGTGGTTTTTCGAGTGATTTGATCTGGTTTTTTCGAGTGTGACCACTTTTTGTATGTGAATATGATCCAAAATGTAAACAAACAGACTTCCTTTCTGGTAAAACGTGAAAACAGATGTTAAAACCTTATCTACAAGATCAAGGAAGGTAAATTAGTATTTTTGATAAAAAGATATTATCAACCCTACATTATTTTGTTTTAAAAACGTTTAATTTAGCCTAACAATGCTTTATTCCAAAATATAGATTTAAGCCATTTTATACACATACCAATGAAAATGTCAACGGAAATGTGTACATGGAATCTATATATACTTAGATATACAGACATTTTACAAATATTTTTGTTTTTGCCATGAAAAGGACATTTTGGAGAGTAAATTCATTTTTATATGTCCGTGTTTTTTCGAGAGCAGTCCGTGTTTTTCGAGTGTGTCCTTGTTTTATCGAGTGAAAAAAACAAAATTCCGATAGCTTAAAATGTAATATGTCAGTGCATTTAAGCTTAAAAACAATGAAAAGGTACAAATAAAGTACTTTTCAAAGCACGAAATAATGCATTAAACCAGTTTGATAATGCTGTATTAACACGTACATTTCATAAAAAGTCATCGTTCATTTGCATTCAGAAATCTTCATGTTAGTGTAACAATATGAATTTCATACAGTAAATATTTCGTGATGTCAACAATCTTTATGTCAGCTCAGACATGTTTGACTGAGAGGTACGTACGCATAGTGTGTAAAGCGGGTAAATGTGTTTTTTTACAGAAAATATATCCTTAATGTTTCATTTACTATTTGTCTTGATGGTAATATTAGCTATTTTTGTGTAATCAGTAGTGTACAGAATTTTACACCGGTGTTGAAAATCTAAACACCCTGAGGCGCATCCGAAGGTCGTATGCATTTTCAACACCGGTGTAAAATTCCGTACACCCCTGATTGCACCAAGATAACGAATTTATTTCTTATTTAGCGTTCGTTTACATTTTTTATTCCCGGTAATAAAGTTGAAAAAAAAATCTTATGACGAACTTACACTACACATTTTTCAACACCGACGTTGCTGTGCATTATCAAATATAAGATATTTAATTTTTTTTTATTTGTGGAAAATTTTTAAAAAAAATTTGGGGGAATCTTGAAGAATAACTTTTTTCGATTTTTTTTGGCAAAAAATTTCAAAAAATTAAATTTTTTTTAATCTAGATTTATTTTTAATTTTTATTAGTATATTTTTCCAAAATTTCAATTATCATAATTTTGGCAACAATTATGTTTTTTGTATATTTTGGCATTTTGTTTATCCCCTGGTGAACTAGGGTGGGTGTTATTTACACCCGGGTAGTTAACCAATCAGATTGCAAGATTCTTGCTTCATAAGAAATAATGTTTTATCGTTCTAGAAATGGGAATCAAGAACAAGGTTCAATTGCTCCTACTGTGAAGAGGTGTCTGATCAAGCGTATGCTATGCTTGGTCATACAGTAATAAAGCACCAGCATAGCTTCATTTCCTTCAGAAATTAAAAGAATAAAAATTGACATTGTATATTTGTGAGGTGAACGCATATTATATACACATTTATTCTTTATTATTATTATTATTTCAAAAGGATCGTATGGAAGCTTACAGATTTTTTTATTTCGTTGTTTATTAAATACATTGGACAAGTTCCCGAGTTTATCATCAGCTCAGTAGTCAGTACTTCGGTATTGACATGATTTATAACAAAACTTTCTAAATTATTTACCAGGAATAGAAATATCGTCACTTAAGTCCTCTTCCGACCGACCCTTGCCAAAGTGGGACGTCCGTTAAATTTGATCAACAAAGTAATCTGTGTTTGTGACTTATTAAGAATATTTAATATTGTCCTTCGCTAAATTACAGTTACAAACTAGAAAAAGTCAGTTTTTACGTCAAATAATGTCTTCTTTCTTATTCACGTTTTCTTAAAAAAAAACACCGGACCATTTGTTGAAAAACCCGGACGTTTTAAATGTTGTTCTCGAAAAAACACGGTCAATATTAAACACTATATTGTCAGTGAATTACAAGAAAATTCTGCGTCGTTTGTGATAAAAAAATGTATAGCATTCAGAATAAGAATAATAAAACTATTATACTCGCGAAATAGCAGTAAATCGATCTGATCGGATGTAAATTCACTCGCAAAAACTCGAAAAAAAACCTGATCTACACTCGAAAAAAGTGGACTGATATGGCAAGCCGATCTCATCAAAAACTATATTTAAACCATTTTTCGAAAAATTTACACACTGAGAGTAAAAAACCTAAAAACACACTCTGAGAATTAAAAATTACACACTGAGATTTCATAAAGGCGCAATGAGATTACAAAAAATGAAAAACACACACTTAGAATTGAAAATTACACATTGAGATTTCAAAAAGACACACTGAGATGAAATAAACTCAAAAACACACCCTGAGAATTTGAAATTACACACTGAGAATTTAAAATTACGCACTGACGTTGGAACAATCTGCAAAAAGACAAACAATGCAGTTAAATTTTTACCCAAGTGCCTATTATAGCATATAAACGAAACAAAAATATAAAACAATTACCTTGCGAAATCAGGGTAACAGTTGAAAAGGGACCCATAATAATATTATAATGACGAGAGTTTGGGAGACAAAAATATTAATCTGTTGAATTATTTGTCTCATCAATATTGATTAGTATTGTGCATATTAATCACAGTGTGTATTTTTGAAATCTTAGTGTGTGTAATTAACAATTCTCAGTGTGTGTTTTTCAATTTATTTCATCTCAGTGTGTCTTTTTAAAACCTCAGGGTGTAATTTTAAATTCTCAGTGTGTAATTTCGATTTCTCGGTGCGTTATTTTAGGTTTTTAAATCTCACTGTGTTTTTTTAAAATTCTCAGTGTGTATTTTTTCGAAAAAAAAGGGTTTAAACATAGTTATGACGAGAATGGCTTGCCATAGACTGATTCACTCGAAAAAAAACACGGTCTCCGCCGGACACTATACCTACCGTAAATGTAGAGTAAACGTTAATGATACAGCAAACCAACGACTAGACACAATATTTAAGATACGAATACAAGGGGATGTATACGTCAATTTGACAGCAACCAAACGACTTCAACAACAATATAATAGAAACGAATACAAGGAGATGTTGGGTAATACGTCAATAAAAGACAGCAACCCAACGACTTGAATAATCATATAATAGATACGAATATATGGAGTTGTGTGGTATATGTCAAGAGAAAGCAACCAAACGACTCGAACAAAAATATTATAAATGCGGATACAAAAAAATGTAGGGTATATGTCAATGTGACAGTATCCAAACGACACAAACAAACATAATTATCATTGATACGAATACAAGGAGATGTAGAGTATACTTCAATGTGACAGCAGCCCAACGAGTTAAAAACAATTATATGGATATGAATACACGGAGATATGGTGTAAACATCATTGAGACCTCTACCCAACGACTTGAAGAACAATCATATGGATATGAATACACGGAGATGTGGTGTATACGTCAATGAGACAGCAACCCAACAACTTGAAGGACAATCATATGGATATGAATACACGGAGATGTGGTGTAAACATCAATGAGACAGCAACCCATCGACTTGAAGAACAATCATATGGATATGAATACACGGAGATGTGGTGTAAACATCAATGAGACAGCAACCCATCGACTTGAAGAACAATCATATGGATATTAATACAAGGAGATGTGGTGTATACGTCAATGAGACAGCAACCCAACAACTTGAAGGACAATCATATGGATATGAATACACGGAGATGTGGTGTAAACATCAATGAGACCGCAACCCAACGACTTGAAGAACAATCCTATGGATATGAATACAAGGAGATAAACGTCAATGATACAGCACCAAATGAATTGATTAATTGATTGGTGTTCAACGCCACTTTCAACACTATTGTGCTATTTCGTTACGGTCATCATTTATTGGTGGAGGAAGCCGAAATGCCCGGAGAGAACCACCGACCTTCGGTAGGACAAATGAATTGAACAAAAATATATATTGATACGAATACAAGGAGATGTGGTGTATTCTTCAATGAGATAACAACCCAACAACTCCAACAAATATATTATAGAAACAAATGCAAAGAAATGATGGGGTGTACGGCAATGAGACAGCAACCTAACGACTTGAACAAGAATGATAGATATGAATACAAGAAGATGAGGAAATACGTCATTAATGTCATTGAGACAGCAATCCAACGACTTGAACAATAATATGGATAAGAATACAAGGAGATGCGGGGTATACGTCAATGGGTTAGCAACCCAACGCCTTGAACAAAACTACTGAAGAGACAAACATAAGGAGATGTGTGATATACGTCAATGAGACAGGAACCCAAAAATATTATAGATATAAATACAACCACGCCCTTATAGATGTTGAGATAACGGAATCGCTTATTTCATTGTTACTTTGCACTAGATTTATTACTGTCCACATTCCATCTTGAAACGGGATATATGAAGTTGATATAGCAGGCGTCGAGTAAGGCGTTCTATCTGTACTACACTGACTGGAGAGAGTTTCTTTGCTTTCGCTACCGGCGT